TTTCAAAAGTTCTCAGCAAGATTGTTGGTTAGCGACTTCAATCTTTGCTACCGAAGTTGATTTGTTTGCAACAGTTTGCTTTTTTGGTTAGGAGCATCACTGGTTGCACAAGAACTAATCCGCAACCTTGAAGCTAAAGTAAGAGGAGGTAATGTAAATCTCAAATTTTATATCAAGAAAGCTTATGACACAATTAGTTGGAAATTTATCATGGTACTGCTGAAAGCTAAGGTTTCTCCAATGCGTTTTGTAAGCATATACATATGTTGCTAGCACATAACTTTTATTCTATGATTATTAATGATCAAAGACATGGTCATTTTAAGGCGAATGGGAGTTTGAAATAAGGGGACCCTTTGTCTCATATTCTTTTTGTGATCACTTTGGCCAACCTTTCTCGTCTTCTTAATAACCACATTGTTAGTCATCCATTTCTGCTTACAAGGCTAAGGGTGGTGAACTTATCTCTCATTTGGCATATGAAGATGATCTTATTGTCTTTTGTAATTCTAGTAGAATGAATGTCATGCATATTTCTTTAATTTTGTAACATTTCAAGAAGGTTTCAAGTATGAGTTTTAATAAGACGAAATGTGATATTATTATCAGTATAGGAGTGTCTTTAAATTATAGACAATGACTTGAAGAATTCTTGGGGTTTAAGATATAGATTTTTCCTATAAAATATCTTGGCATTCAACTTTTTAAAGTATAAATCACGCAATGATTTTCAAGGACATGATTCACAAAATCTCTAAAAGACTGCAAAGTTGAGAAAATTCTATGCTTTTATTTGGAGGTAGATTAACACTTCTTCAAAATGTGCTTTCTTTGATTCTGTTATATAAACTTTAAGTTGCAAAGATGATGAGTAGTATGCAAAGTAAGATTGAAAGAATCTTCAACAAGTTTTTGTGGTCCGGGCATGGGAGAGGTGTGCACTGGACTTCTTTGAAGAAACTTCGCAAGCCTAAGGATGCTCATGGTATGAGTTTCAAAAGTTTTGACCAATTTATGGAGAAAAATTTATGCAAGTTATGATTGAAACTTAGGGAGCAAAATTATTCTCAATTTATGAAGAGAAAAAACTTCAACAACAAACACCCTATTACTTGTCAACTAAAGATTGGTGATTCGAGCATTTGGAAGGAAAATTTGAAGGTTCAAGAGAAAGCGTAACAATTCATCATTTGGGACCTTGGCAAATGTGATATTAGCTTTTGGTTGTATGATTGGATGCTTTTGGGTCCTCTATATAATGTTTTTGATGAAAACCTAAACTATGAAACGAAGGTAGATGTTCGGGATGAAGAAGGTTGGAACCGTTAAAAGTTACTAAATCTGGTTGGTAATTATTTGTTGAGACTTATTTCTAATATTCTGCTTGATCGAGGCAAAGTTCAGAATGCTTCATCATCAAATATTATTGCGAGCTAGTTACATCCTACTAGCATTACCAAGGGCAGTGATGATATTTGGAACAATTTGGAGTTAGCACATTCATTCAAACGTGTTCTAATTTAGATATATTTTTTGTGAATGAGCTAAATCTTGATTGCTCATGAAAAATGAAATTGCATGTAAAATTAAATGTACTAGTGTTTTAACTTTAAGGGCATATAATGATTTAATTATATTATTAGTTGGAGTCAATTATGTATCATATTTGAATAAAAAAATAATATGTTTAATTACTCAAAAAAATTTTCTTTGTTGATGTGTGTATAACTTAAAAAGGAAAATAATATTAATGAAATATATACAATGGAGTGTGATGTTTTGTGTTGATGTATTGGATTCAACAATTCTAATGATATCACATGATACTAAGAATGATATTAAACATAAAATATAATGCCGAAAAAATAGGAGCTAAATTTTTTATTAATGATTTTAAAATGACCTAAATAATCTCGTATGTACGCTATACATGAACATATGAGCATTATAGAAGCAAAAACTCAAAATAATAATAAAAAAAAAACATACTAATAGCCACCACAGTTTCTTGAACAATTGTTTCTGCAAGCTAAAATCCCAAACTTACCCTTAAAAAGAAGATTATTCTGTAAGCTAAAATCCATTGCAGAATTTTATAATGAAGATTTCTCACATGAACTCTCTCAAGGAGCCAAAAAATTTTGACATTCCAGACGAGAGTACAGGAAGCCTGCGAATTTCCATGTTTATGAGAATAAGAACATCTACAAGAAATTTATATGACAATGCACACAAACCTACAGAATATTCAAATAAATAAATAAATAAATAAAACATATTAATGTTTTGGACTCGTATAGCTTAATCGATAAATTATTGGGCCACTCCCAGGTTTTTTTCGGAGCAGGAAAACTAATTGACAAAACCTCATGATGAAACTGGCTGTTAAAGCATAAAATTCAAGCAGATCATAAGCTGTAATAGGCGTATGTAGGTGCTGGCAG